AGCAACAGTAGGCATGGCAGAGGAGTTTAAATAGGGTGCCCTGAATGAGATTTGCTAATTGGTGGCATAGAAAGGAATCATGTGATCTATCAGCTGACTCCCTTCCATCAATCAGCTGCTCCATCAGTTGATTGGGCTGTTTGGGATGGGATGGGAGCTGAGCTTGACATCTTGTCCTGCCTGAAAAGCTGAACATCTGCACACCTGAGAAGCTGAGCGAGAGAATCTTTGGCATTTAAATGACGGAAATGATTAACCAATTAATAGTTGATTACTTTTTAGTGGATCAACGACACAAATAGACATCGTTTCAGCTTGAGTTGCAAGCACAAGCTTAACAAGCCGTGAAAGCATAACATGATTTCACTTTCTTATTCCTGTTTTTGGCCTTCCTTACACAGATATCACTTAGGAAGACACCAAAGTTTGTACCTGTTCCTGGGCTGATTTATACCTTGGGCCGACAGAAATAAATCGGTGTCTGACATTGACTAAAAACACTTTCTTTCCTCAAGGTGCTCATGAGCAATGTCATTCTTAGTTTTACCCCCCAAAGCAGCTGTGTTTCCTGAGTTGCTTGGAGTAAATAAGCCCTTTAAGGAAATGCTGCGCCTCTGCTAAAGATGAGAATGATTGAACCGTTCTTGGTAAATGCAGCATAACAGAGCAATTTATATGTGCATAAAATTTTCCCCTTGTGTGCTCTATTACTCAGAATACGCTCATCATACAGTCATATTAAAAGACATCTAATCAGTCAGGGAAAATAATGTTTTTTTTGATGATAATACCATTTAAAGATTTGTCTGCATGTCACTATAAACCTACATTGCCACATGTCAGATCCTCTCTGTTGGAAAAATACAAGAATTTTCTGGCTGACTGGAAATAAGGTGCCATTATGGCTTTGCTTTTCACTGAAACCTGCATTTAGGCGTCTAGCTGCCACTTGGAGCTGTGATAGCCACTTGCACACCAGAGCAATTTCAAACCAGATGAAGCGTTTGACAAGTGGCGTGGTGACCATGTGAGGTCCAACCCAAATCAGACAAACCAAGCCAGTGTGGCGATGGGGGTTTTCAAAATAACCTTCACTCCTAACTCCCATGTGCCTCCTATTTTGTGGGTGATTTCTGACGTCAAGTTAGGTAGACCTGCGCAAAGGCCACACAGGTCTATAATGAGCAAGTTAGCGCAGAGCAAAATACAGACTCTTTATATTTACAGTATGTGTGCGATTTGCATATTCTGTAATCTCTGTGTTCTTTGGTGGAGCATGTGTTTGTGTTGTTGAACGCAACACGTTCAAATTGTTTTGAAGTCTGGATTTGGCTCATAAACTTATTTTGCCTCAGGTTTCATTTAATATGCGTGGATTTAATTTAGTCTGGTCTTGCAAATGTAATATTGTTTAATTTTGTTTAATTGTCTTATTTACCAGAATGAATGCCTCATTTATATTTGTATGACCTAACACAAAGGCACTGCACAGTGACAAGGCAGAGAGGTCTGGGATCCGTATGCATCAAGAGAAACCTGTTGGCCGTAGACCTAAGAAAAAGTCCTGAGCTTGATGGCAGTTAACTTTACAGTCAGGAGCTAATTCAATAAAGATCTTTTTTCACCCCGTACGCCTCTACAGCTGAGCTTAAAATGAGAGAGGATAGAAGACAGTAACCCAAGTGCTATGGAAGGGCGTCTGACTCGCCACATTAAAGGAAAACTCAGGCCGCTGTCAAGCAGCGTTAAGCACCGCTCTCATAAACTCCTGTCACATACTATAGACTGGCTGTGAATGAACTGCACCATAACCTCCAGGTGACCTCTCTCTCTCTGTATTATAATTCAGAGGTCAAAGACAGTTCCAGACAGAGTGGTCAGTGTTCTTCCACAGACACTATGTTATTTCATCTGACTGGCACATACTGAATCACACATTTCCCCACCCAAATTAACCGGAACCATTAGATAGACTAATAACCACACACATGCCACCAACTAGCAAGTGAGGTCATCTAGGATTAAAGTTCAGGATCATGGCCAGTGTGGCAAACTGGGGTGGGGATGTGAATAATGAAAGGGTCAATGAACATTTAGGCACTGGCAGTACATATTATTAACTCTACAAAGGGTTACACTCACGATCGAAGGGATGGGGATAATCAAAGAAGTATTTCACTGCTGGAACGATGGTCTATGCAGAAGAAAAATGAAAAGACGTTTGAAACTGGTGATATATGACCAGAAAAAACTTAGAAAAAGGGTCTGTGGCATTCACTTTCGCCAAAGAGGTAGAAAACCTACAACTACCAGAATGCATTGCGCCGCGCTGGTGAATGACGTCATGCGGCGTTTTTCCACAGGGAACAAGATGGCGCCTCGCTGGATGAAAGTGATGAATTTCAGAAAAACGGTCAGTTAAAACATGTTTCTTAAAACATTTTAAGGAAGAAATAGGTAACAAGGTTACATAATCATGGTTCTTATTTTATCAACACAGCTTAGTTGTACCGTTTTTCAGCCTCCTGTTTACCATAACCGGAAACAATATGGCACCTGCTTCCGGTTACAAATTCATATATTGCAGTCAAACAGTACATTTAAATGTGCCTGAAAACGTTTGAAGCAAGAAATAGACTATACATTAACAGACTCTCGGTGTATATATGATCAGTTTTACACTTTTATTAAAGTTTGAGAGAGGGACTCGTGTCTGTGGAGGCAGACATGAGGAAATACTACTTCTGTTTACAGTAAATAAACATCTGTCAGTTCATGTATGTTATATTATGACAGTAGCAGGACTAGGACATGACCTGGCGACCATACATGTGTCACATATAAGGCTGCAGTCTGGCATAAGGCAGAAAGGGTTGAGGGCAGCGCATAGCCCAAAAGGGGAAAAACATTCATTTTGTCATTAAGCAAACTAATCTCTGCCACCTGGTACAGTGAGTTTGTTACACTATGTAAGGTTGTATGTGTATAATTTATATGGCTGGCAGTTAGTTTTGTAACATAAAAGCGGAGTCGACGGGAAAACTTTCATCAGACTTAACAGTGTGAGCTAAAAGCTATTTCTTGAGGCAGTACGTATCAGTTACAGACGTGTTATGAATGAAAGTTACCAGTAAGTATCCAAATAATTGTTCATTTTTAGCCAGCAGTAAGCCTACAGCATACTATACAGTCATTAATTTTCTGTAACCGCTTATCCTGGTGGGGGTCGCAGGAGGGCTGGAGCCTATCCCAGCAGACATTGGGTTAGGGTGGTTAGGTACACCCCGGACAGGTCGCCAGACTATCACAGGGCTGACACATAGAGACAGACAACCATTCATGCTCACATTCACACTTACGGCCAATTTAGGCCCCGTTTATACGACAACGATTTCAACTAAAAACGGTAAACTTTAGTTGTATTTTGGCCGATCGTTTACACAACAGCAGCATTTTGGGTGCCTGAAAATGCAACGTTTTGACAATGTTCCAGAGTGCAGTTTTTTGGAAACGACGCTGTCTCTGTTGTCATGTAAACTTGGAATATGCAGTTCCTCTGAAAACGGAGACTTTTTGCACATGCGCATTACGGTTCCAGTCACTAGGCATGCACGAAAAAGTTGTCCGTCACAACAACAATGCCGAGCTCTGTTTGTGCTGCTCACTCTGTTGAATTTATCAACGCTTCTCCAGCAAAGTGTAGATCTACTGTAGCAACTCCACCTCGTCGTCCATCCAGACAAAGTTATCTGTGCATGCTTTTGCCATTGTGTCTTCTTTGTTTTGGTTTGTAATCACCGCATTGTAGAGGGAGGCGCTTCAGCGCAGGCACGTGGCGTCATGCCGTGGTGTTGCTTTGCAAATTTACACTGCCACCCATTGGCCTGGCGTGCATACTACAGTGTTTCCAGTAGATTTTGTCTTTGGACTGTGGGAGGAAGCTGGAGTCACTAGTTTGGAGAAAACCCATACTAACACAGGAAGAAAATGCAAACTCTGCACAGAAGGGCTTCCCCTCTCCCAGGTTCGAATTAGGAACTCTTGTTGAGAAGCGTCAATGCTAACCACTACAACACTGTGCCACCTACACAGTGTACTAGTGAACTCACGATGTGTTAGACAATTTATGCGTCAGCCAAAATAGAGAAGTTAAAAAGTTCAAACATATTTCACATGCAAGATATCTGTATGCTGCACACTGGCTAAGACAACATTAGGTGATGAAAACTGTGCTGCTGCGACTGACTGAAATGTCTGTACCTACGCTTCCCACACAAACCTTACTTCTCTATAGTTAAGTTCATTTTCTCCTTATTGAGTTTGTCGACCTTTTGCACTTATGTACATTGCACATACATCAACAAACAGATGACACGCTTTTGTGTCATACATCATACTCATTGTTTAGTGTTGTTGGCAGTAAATTAGTATTTTATTATAAGACGCACATTTAGTTACTTTTTGTACAGTCACACATTAGTTCGTCTTTAAATAGGTTTTTTTCTGATTGCTGCTGCTGCTGCAGGGAAATCTTGTCAGGCTGGAGCGATAGACCTTTTTCACAGCAGACATTTTGACATGTTATGGGACAAGCACAGGTGTATTTAATAACAATAATGATTGCTGCATTCCATTTAGTGAAGGTCCTGGTACTTTGCATGCTGGCTTACTTATTGGCACACTAAATGGAACTGAGCCATCATTAATGTTATCAGTTTCACCTGTGCTTTTCCTCCGATGACAATTTCTTTTTAAGTGATTTCTTTTTTGATTGTATTGTGCGTTGGTGGTGTTGTTTTAGTTAATTACCCAAGTATTTACTGATAGAACCAATGTTTTAAATGTTTAATTTTTGGTTAAATAAAACCCTCTCTTTGAGAATCCACCAGCGATTCCTCCTGCCTGCCAGCTCGGTCTCTCGCACCATGAGTACACTTCTTTTTCTTTTTGTTTGTATTATGTTTATTCATCACTCTTCCCTCATTACTCCTCCTGTTTTAGGGCAAAACACCTGAAGCTAACACACCCGGACAAGTGTCTCCACTGACTGCAGAGGCCGAACCCTGGTAAGATAGCAAACAAGCTAACATCATATACCTCAAATACCAATTTGTTACTTTAAATAATATCCTTATAATATTTTCTCTAAGGTTGGCATTGACAACATTATATGACTGAAAGACAGTGACAAGGGAACTGCTGAAGTCACAGATGAACCAGGAGCTACCCAGATGAACCGGCAGCACTGTTAACAAGCTAATGGCACCAAGTGAAAGGTAAGCACGATAAACCACTTCATAATAATATAATAATAATGATAAACTTTATTTATATAGCACCTTTCAAAACACAGTTACAGTGCTGTGCAATAAAACTAAACACAATTAAAACACAAGAATAAAACAAATACTATTTTTAACCAATGTAAGGCATCTTTGACTACCTTGAAAAGCACTCAAAAATTAAATGTAATATTATTGTTATTAATTATTGTCTATCCAGAAAGTGTGTACTGCAGGTTAATTTATTTTATGTCTCAATCAGAAAGCCAAAGTACTGTTGAGACATTAGCGTCACGGTTCTAGCATTAGCATTGGGTGGAAAGCAAAGCATCTGCTCCAGCTTTAGCATCAGGTTAGAGGTACAATATTTGGCCAGGGAGGGGCAGAGGGCTGTCTCTGCCTAGCCAGGCCTGACGCCTTAACCAGGCTTTTACAGTAGGAAGGAGTGAAGCACACCGAGGTTTACCGCCATGCTGGGATCACCAGTTTAATGGAGGCTCGCCCTAGCCCACATTCAAACCCTGCATCTCTTGGCTCCCTTCCTGCAGCTGGGGTATACTGGGGAGCGTTCCCATGGAAAAGCTGTTAAACTGGCCACGGTAGTGAGGATGAGGAACAAGTTTCCATCATGTTCTAACTAGCTACAAAGAGATTCACATATTGCACTGCCATATAGACTGCTCTACTGTTGGATAGTTCTATTAGTTGTGATGTCGTGGGCTTTAGTGGGCAGTTGGAGGTTTTGTCTGCATTTTCTTCCTGCCTTTTCCATTCTGGTGGCTACAGGTGTGCGCATTGTCAGGTCTGTTTCCTCCTGACGTTTTAGCTGACCTATGAGGGGTCTGAGCTTGTTTTTGCATCGTCTCCGTGTTGCTATGCAGACTGACTTTTCCGTTGGCTGGGTTTTACCAGTCATCCTTAAAGACAAGCCTGGTCCTGATTGTTCCGGATCGTACGGCGGAATCAAATTAGGGACTGGTAATGGCCATAAAGTCCATGTCTGAGGCATTATACGCAAGGGCGTGGGCCCACCTCACATTTCCCATCCGCATTTCCTTTCGTCCCCGTCTCTGAGCGGGATTGTCAGCTTTTTTTCATTACCGGCTAATCTGGAGGATTTGTAACTAAAACAACAAACAGATAAAAAAGCACAAATCAACGGGAGAGAGTGATGTTCCACAAATCAACTGTATGTTCATAATTGGCCAACTCATACATCATGCTTGTTCTTCCATGAGTGGGGCCCCATGCTTTGCAGTTGTTTATAAGTCTAATGTCTTATGCCACAGTGATTCAAGGTGCATGTCCTGCTGTTTTCTTCCCCCCCTGAAGATATGGGACTCCCACAGCATTTATCCTCTTAGCAATAGTAGCTAAAATACCAAAAGTCTCTGCATTAACTTTCTTCCTTATAATAACCACAGGCACTTCACAGATGATCTGTGTCACATTGTGGGTGCATTTGAAACTACTTAAATATGTAAACAGTAGCCACCACACAATAACTAATTACTAAGTGTAGACTGTGGCTATAGTTTGATTAGTTTTATCCTTATTTACCCTCTCCTGTTGGCATGTGAACACTGAATTATTGTTTGCATTACATAAGAATTATTAAAAAAAAAGCCAGCAACCAATTTTGAAATGTTTCCAGACTAATACTTGTGAAATATTGGAAGCACTCTTGTTATCATAACTTTTTATTTCATTTTTTCCCTTCCCTGCAGGACCCTTAGGCTCAGAAATTATTTTGTGGCATTTTGCTGGCACGGGGATAACGCGTAGATATCAATCTCGCGTTTCTAAAAATGTGTTCCACACTCCTTTGCTTGGCGTTTGATGTGTCAGATCAGCACCGTAATGACTACCTGGTTGCTCAACGCCTGTCAATCTCATTAAGGTCCTCACATATTCTGACTTGCATAATTTTCTTGGAAATTCAAGCAGATATCATCTCTGTTTATTTTGCCATAGCTGAGTCAGTATCTATGCTCTGATTGCCCAGTTTACACACCTTCCAAGATGCATTACAGCAGCAGCAGTGTGCCAACACTTATGCTGTAATCAAATATTCAGATCCTCCCAAGACAAAAGACTCATCTCTCAATAAGAAATATAAGCACAAAGGAGATGGGTCCCTTGTTTAAATAATTATTTTTTTGCAGTACTTTATTCCACTTATTTTAATTAATTAAATTGAGAGGAAATAAAAGGAAGAAAAATATACACCTATATATTTTTCCTTACCATTTCTGTGAGGAATTTGGAAAGTTTGGTCAAACTGTGGCTTAGTGGTTACATTGCTGCCTCATAGCAAGAATACCCTGGATCTGTATCTGATCTAGTTCTTCCCTTTTTTTTGAGTTTCTCCCCAGGTCTGCGCGTTTACTCCAAGCACTTTGGGTTCTTCCCACAGTCCCAAAAAAATTCAGATTAGGTAGATTTGAGGGTCAGTATGGCAAGGCATCTACATGTGCAACCTAATCACCAGAGTAAATCTTGGCATTGTGTGTTTCTGCAAACCACGGATATGAAACTTTTGTATGGCATTATGTAGCGAATATGTTTTGACAATGCTGTGGTCAATGTGTAGTTATGTTAAGGCCCAAAAACATGTTTTGGCTTAGATGAACCGGTTTGGTGCCTCAGTCACCGCTGGAAATGTTGTGAGCTGAAAAACAACTGGTTTTGTTATTTGCAGGTCTCAAACAGTGGTCTGCGGCTTGGCAGCAGTTTTACATAGATCTCACACCATTCACCATCCCCTCAACCTCCTGATGACAAAGTCAGTGGAGCGTCGCGGGGGGCTGGAGCCTACACCCTGGACAGACTATCGCAGGGCTAACGCATAGAGACAGACAACCATTCACACTAACACCTACGGACAGCCCAACCTGCATGTCTTTGGACTGTGGGAGGAAGCTGGAGTACCCGGAGAAAACCCACGCTGATACGGGGAGAACATGCAAACTCCGCACAGAAGGGCTCCCTTCTGAGATCAAACAAGGAACTCTTGCTGTGAGGTGACAGTGCTAAGCCCCGTATGAAACGTACAGATATTGGTGGTTTGTAGAAATGTAAAATGTCAACATTTTCTTCTGGCGACTGGGCTGAGGTGTGAATGCGCTCATCTGTCTGTATGTATTGGCCAATTAATGACCGTATGTGTGTCTTGCAAACTCTGCTCAGTAAGATACAATCTATATACAGTAGACATACCTGCTTCTCCTCTATCATTTAGTATTCTACTGAAGTTCGAAGAAATGACCTTGTTCTTACATAAATGCGTCTTCAGTTCTGATACATGCATCATAACCTACATGTAACACTGTGGATAACAGTAAAATCCGTAGTCATAACTGACTATAATTAGGGTATACACTGACAACAAAAGTGATGTCACTATTGTGTAAAATGGCCCCGCTCCGTGCTCTCTGTGGAAAGTTTCATTTTCCTACACAGCCATTTACATAAAGTGTAAGTCAGGTCATGTCTGCTTTCATTATTTTTGTTCCAGTGTGACATTGAGCTATGTGACATATTATAAAGACATTATCTTCTTCCATCCAAACACACAAGCCTACATTGTTTTTCTTATTCCTTCACCTAGTTCACAGCTGAACTCTTAATTCCACCAAATGTGTCTTTCTCATCAAGGAGATGTGTTATTAATGTCCAGTGACCGCACGCGTTGTGATAAATTCCTTTTTCATGTTTATCTGCTCAATGAGTCACAATGCTTTTTTAAGGCCTGACGTTCTAGATTTAATATGAGAATTTAAAAAACACTCCACTTAATTCAGAGCATGTTAACATGTGGCGAGCAGTCATATCCAGAGTGACTTTTAGTGACTGAGTGGTTTCAGCATCTCGCCGGAGGGCTTTTGGCCAGAACATACGGCTGTTTTTGCTATTGAACCCTTGTCCTTTACATGATGGGACGGTCACTGTAACCGCTAGGCCACCCTACCACCCTGAATAATCGTTATTAGGTTCTCCAAATAAGTCATATACTTGTGGAACGGAAGGGAAACCTTTCGGTGGACGTTGAGTGGGTGGTTGTAAAAGCAAGACTTCTTCACTTTATAAGACCTGAAGCTGCCCTCTCATCTGGGAGGAGCTTTTTCCTAAATTATTGCCATAATTTATCGCTGCACCAGCAGCTGGCGGCGGACATTGGAAGTGGACGTTCCTAAAACAGTGCAGCACCGGATGATGGTGTCAAGTACTGGAGCGGTCAGGTTCCCCTGGCATGTAATTAGCCATGAAGCAGTTTGGTGACAGCATTGCTCCTTTGTCACACTGAGCTAATATTAGCTTACTTTACCTCATTGGCAAGCATGTCACCTTTTCCTGAGTTTGCATTAGCATAAAGCCACTAGCGACTGTGTGTCCTGTAAAGTTATGAGGCTGAACTCTCACCTGCTTACTCACATCTGTGGACTAAACTATATTTGTCCTCTTCTGTTGCTCCTCTGTAAAATCTTTCCTTTTCAAAGCCTCACCGTCACTGCTACAAAACTGACAAGATCTGAGCGGTGATCAGACAGCTTGGCCATCGCACAGTAACCCAGTCTCCAAAAACTCTGCAGAGAAGCCATAGCTTCTGCCCTGCAGCTATTAATGTTGCAATTATGATGTGAAAAAACAGGTAGTGAAAATATTATCTCCTAAAGACCAAGGGGAACTTACTGAAAGACATCGGATGTGTTTTTTACGGCTCATTTAAAACTCTTGTCAGCATTGTCACTGCAGTGATAAATGATGTTTAACTGTTGTTTACGGGAGACTTTTTGGATGATTTGAGAACTTAATGTGTTCATCACAAATGTGCACAGCTAAGGTGAACCCTGGTCATGTATAACACTGAGAGTGGCTTGTTTTATTTAATTTAATGAATGGAAGACAATATATTTGCAAAGTTATTGAGACATTCAGCTGTAACTTGTCCATATTTCTTGCTCAAGCTCAAGTCTAGTGATTGTTAAATGCCTTTGTATGTCATCACAACCAAAAGTAATGTGAGCAATACAAAACCTGACATGTAAAAATATTAACATTGTTTCTCATTCTCAGTGCTCCCACTCAACATTACATGAAATGCATTTTAATGAAGTTATCAAAAGTAACGCAGTAGTTAGCCCCCAAAGTCCTTCAAAATGAAAATGTGAGTAAGCACTTGCAGCAGAGGAAATATTTTTGTCATAAATTTTCCCAATAGACAGGCTGCTGTCTGTATAGTTACAAGACATAGTACGGATACTAGATGTCCTCATGTAAACACATAAAGCATGAAGCTATCTTGCGTCAAATTGTGTTTTCCATACTACATTTATATAATCAATCTGTTACTCTTGTCTTGTTATGTTCATTGGAGACATAAAGCTGCTGCAATGGCTACATGCACTGTGTGTGTGTGTGTGTGTGTGTGTGTGTGTGTGTGTGTGTGTGTGTGCATACTGTATGCAAGTCTTCATGGGAAGCTGTCCTGGCCAAAATTGCAAACTTGGCTTATGTACTGTGATGAAGCACTTGCACATGAGTACACATGCAGACACATAAATACAAAAATACACAGGAAGTGGTAAAAAATATTAAAGTACTTACAAACACACAAACAAAGTCACCTGTAAAACACACTGCATCCAAAACCATCCGCCCCTTCCAAGTGCAGTTCCTCATATCAGATCTCCTTCAACCTATCCGTCACACTATAGTTGCGGCTGTGCCTCAAGGATCAGAGTGGGTCCGGTGTCCACTAATCTGCTCACGAAGCAGGTGCAGGCAGCCTGTGTGTCCCAAAAATTGCATTGCATGACTGTATTTCAGCCATTACAACCATGAAAACTCAAAATCGATTACCAGTATATTGATGGGGTGTCTGGACACTTGAAGAAAAACTGCTGCTCTTCACTGAAAGCAGCCAGTTGAGGTGGTTTATGTATGTAATTGTCAAACTGGCAGGGGAATCCTAACTAGAGCCAGGACATATTGGGGAAGGATTATATATTGTACTGTTTTAAAGTACCTGTGGACACGTGTGTTAATGTGTGTACATGGTGTGCTGTTACTCTGTGTATGCAGAGTTTTAGTAACGTGTGAAACTGTTTCCTCACTAGTTTTTTAGTATTAGGGTTAAGGTAGAGATTATGGTTAGGCATATTAAAGCAAGGGGAAGGTTTAGAGTCTGGGGAATAAATAGAGCACATCAAAGTCCCGACATGATCACAAGTTTGGGTGTGCACTGCTTGTTTTTGTGTGGTCTGTCTAATACTGTCTGTTTTGGCATGGATTTTGTTTATATGGCACCGTGCCTTGTATTCGCATGGTGCTTCACAAGCCTAATATAGACCTCTCAAGTGTGTGCATATTGTGCATATTTTTTGTAAGAGCATTGTCATGTCTGACTGCATCTGGTCTTGATGTATGCACACTGTTTACATGCATGAGGCAGAGGGAGCTTGTTTAAGCGCAAAGCCCTGTAAGCCCTAACCGAGCAGAGCTTGTGTGGCTGCTGCAATGAAGTGCTGTGTCAGCCGAGGTCCGCTAAACTACTCTTGGCAGTTGGCCAGGTTCTTCGAGTGTTCCTGCTGCCTTTGCCATGTTGTCTCCTGCCCTGCTGTATCCTCCCTGAGGGAGATTCTCCTCCTCCTCCTCCTCCTCCTCCTCCCTCTCCCCAGTCCTCCTCTTCTCTATCTCTGCCTCTGACTGACAGACCCGCCAGGCTGCACATTTACGCACTATCACCATTGTTCAGATACAAGTTGTAGTTATACAATACAAACACTTTTAAATGACCTCATTGGCAGAGTTAAAGCTCAGCCAGTGAGCCAAAAAACCTCAAATTTTCTGGTTAAGTAATGTCAGACTGGCGTCCAGGGAGAAATGCATGTGGGAGGGGAGGTTGCAAACCTGAAGCCTTAGGCTACCATTACAAAAATACATTCAGTACTAGCTTAGCTTGCTGACCTTCAGCTACTACTTCTTTCAAGATCACGAATGAATTGTAAAAGTAGTCACTGTCATTCACATATTCAATTCACTAACTGACTGTGGTTCTTTGTCTCCGCCTGCTGTGGTTTTGAGGTTTAACTCAACAAGTGAGATAATCTCTTGCTGCAGAGAAATATTTGTATAATTAAAACCCATCCCTCTTGTTCACCTCAATGAAAATCTCAGTCTGATTTAACAGATCTAAAGGATATTGAGCTCTAATAAACAGGTAAGAACTAATACTACTACTGCCACCACTATTAATGATAAATAATAATTTAGGAGTCATGAGTTTTGTACTCACTTATCGGCCACTATAGTAATACTGTTGTTCTAAATTTCATGCACCATATTCACTCATTTCGAGTTGAAGTCAGTTGGTCAACTGACTGAACAGGAAACACACAGCAAAGAAAAACATCCAAAGTTTTGATCCGCCTTTGATCCGCTGAAACACTTGATGAGGAGAGGCTCCTCGGAGGGCTTTCAAAGGTTATAGGAAACACGGTTGGAGACCTGGGCTCATCCTGTGTGATCTGTTTTGAGAGTCATCTGAGGTAGACCATTTGTTCTGGGTGGGGATGTTGATTTGAACTAAATTAAGGGCTGGAAACCCAATAGTGGTGCCTCGAGTAGGAAGAAACACCCCAAAGGCGTCTGACTAGTGCAATTTGGCACTGAATAAAAGGCTTGGTGTCATTAAAAGCAAGACTATTAGTTTAGATCATGTATTTCTGAACTGTTCTGCACAAACATCAATCTGCAGAGTATTGTTAAAGAGGAAATTATCACTACCAGAGTTTGGATTCATATCAGTACATAGTGGGTGAA